AGAGACAGAGGGAAATAAATTTATTGTTCTCCTTTAACTCTCAAGTTCGCGTTTATTCAGCAAAAAAATCTGCCTTAGGTAGGTTTGTATCAAGTGAGGTCCTGTATTTAGCAGTTTAGATAGTATCGATATTAAATTTTATTCATTATAAAGTTATTACAAGAAGTTAACTTTCAAAAACTGCTGTTACAATACCCCCTGATAACATGCTATGATACTACAGAAGAACCGAACCGTGTAGGCTTGGAATAACACGGACCTGTTGTTGTTCATTCAATGTTTCCATGAACTGTCTGATGTCAGCTGTAAAATTGATTTGTAAATATTCGTCACCTTCTTTACTTGGATAGCATAAAGTGATGTTTTTAGTTTTTGGTACCAAATTGACTTACAAAGGTTAACATGAATCTTAACATAAAGGTTCATCTGCTATATAGGGGCCAACAGACAGCAAGTTCCCATGGATGTTGTTGCTTATATTAAGGGAGGCGGTACCCTAGCATGAAGGTGAAATGCTTCTGGATGCAGGTGGATGGGCTGATCCTGGATGCAATGGCATCCTCGGATACCTCCATAATATGCCACTGCTGCTCGTCCCCTACTACCTAATGAAATTGTCATTTGCAGTAAACATTTATAGATAGCAAAAAATCTTGAAAATGTATTACATTGTAGCATATCAATTATTTTCTAAGATAGATGCAATTATACGCAAAGATACATCTCAAAATTGATAACCTCAAGTTAACATATATGCAGTCGGGCAATTACGCTAAAGCATCTTTTAAAAAAGTCTTGCAAGGTACAATTCAAAAGGGTCCATTTTCAATTTGGTACAATACGATTGCCCAAAAAATATTTCCTTATTTGTAGAGGCTTGTTTTGTAGAATTAAATGTATTTAGGCTGCAACGTTTGATTAAAAATTAGCAAAAAAATCAAATTCAATTCATTCATTTTCTTTTGCTTTAAAAATCCTTCGCCTCAAGCAGATCGCAGGGTTTGTTATCGAGTTACGGTGAGATCCACAAATACTTTTAGAAGTTTTATTGTTTCTGTTATCGAAGTGAAAGCTTTTTCGCAACCAGTCGTAATTCCTCAACCGTAAAATTATCGACAATACCTGTTAAAGGCGACAAGGACTTATCGTAATGTCGAAACAAAATAAAACGACCCATTGACACAATTCCGACATATCGTTTGAAAAACATGTTATCACCGCATGCATTTTGTACGTGTACACTCCAAACATGTAGAATGAAATATCATCTTTCTATTGATCATCCTCTGTTGTGAATATCTGCCACGAACATTTTCTTTGAAATATCTGTTATATTAGAGAATAGTGCGTTATCAACTATCACCCTAGGTAAATGCATTTTTACTCGCTCTTACTAAGACAATTAGTCCATATTGCTCTAGGCAACTAGACACATTCTGCAAACATTTCCCTAAAACATTCTTCTCCCGAGAAACAACAATAGATTGTGGGAAATCACACGTTGTGGGAAAATTCGCGTCCATAACACATTATATTTTTAAAATTATAAAACGAATTCATTGCAAATGTTCTATAGAACATTTCCCTTGATCAGTAAATTTCTTATTTATATAAATATTAATGATATATATTATATATATATAATAATTATATTATATTATATTATATATATTAATATATATTAATTTATATATTATATTATATTAATCTTATATTATATTAATTATATAATATAATATTATATTATTATCTATATTATATTATATTATATTATATTATATTATATCATTTTATAGGTAGATATCGTAGATGATATGTTATCATTCTACGTGATAAATTATTCTTTAGATGGAGATGGTTTTGAGAAAATTCTTAGTGCAATGTATAATTTTAGAATGTTAGTGATACAGTCAGGCAATATATATTCTTATCACCGCTTGTTTATCCTGCATCAACAAAAACCAAATTTATCAAATTGCAAACCTCTTTTATCAAATTGTCAAAAAGGACTTTAAATAATGAAACCTCTTTTCTTGTACTTTCTGTAATACTGAATGCAGTGTTTGTAAGAAGAAAAATGGAGGTTTATGAAATGAGATGTACCAAATAAAACTTCCTTGTGTAACCTTGTGGTTGAGGATCATTTAACTCTCTTTAACTTCTGATGATCCTGTCAAAATGACATACTGTTGTTGCTGTTGCTGTTGATTGTTGTGTATTGATAAGTGAATGCAACTTTAGTTATTGTCTATATACGATTCAATGCTGATCTATATGTGTTATGGTATGATAAGGATATTTGATCAATTGAAGGAAAATGTAATACTAATAAATGAGTGTATCAATGATGTCGTAAGACTATTGAATCTTTGAATTGGGAAACTGGATAGGGGGGGGGGGGCATGGATAGAAATACAGCTTTTTCTATACCTGCCTTACGAAATATTGTCAGATCAAGCTGCGCTTATTAGATCTTCAAACACAATTTCCGCACATTATTGGGGTGACATTGCCCCCTGCCTCTTAGTGTCTAATGCAAGAATATGCTAATATTTATTTGTAGTCATGATCATTTAGTAGTATGGTGTAATGTAAATATGGAATGTGATTTCTTGGATTATGTGATCAGATGGTTGTACTGTGCAACTGAATGTGATGATCAAATCAGTTTACGAAATACGCATTTGTTAAAGGACACTTTGTCTCGTCAGTCAATTGTTCAAAGCAAACAATAGCTGATGGGATACGTGAAATAGGCCTTGTAGTCCAACAAATGGGAAATTTAAATGGCCAGTGAAATACGTGGGGACATAGTGTCTTTAATGTTATTATAGAAAGTGTACAATATGACTTTATGGTGGGCTGATGGATGGTTTTAGCAGTCTTTAGGATGCATGATTAATCGATACAACATGCAAATTTCAATAGCTTTTTTGTCAGTTGTTCGGATTACTGATGATCTGATTCGAATCTTTAATCGAAAGGATCGTGTCTACGATGTGGTGATGGGGTTAGTCAACGAATGACGTAGTTTTATTGGTCAACGAATGACGTAGTTTTTATTGGTCAACGAATGACGTAGTTTTTGTTTGGTCAAGCAGTGGACTAGGGTTTTGGAACACTGCAAACATATTTAAATTATCTCTTCCCCCTAACTAGTTCCAAAGCAAATCAATATTTGCTAATTTGTTAGAAGTAAGCTGCTTTTTAATGCGAGATTCACTATTGCTTTTGCTTGGCATATGGTAATTTGATTCTACTTGGAAAGAGTTCACTTGTTTGGCAATTTAATGATAATTTTATAGACCTTCTCCTTTTAATCACAAGTACCATAAAATAAACTGAAAACGGCAGAATGCTTTTGTATACATAAATTTTATATGGTGATATAATCAAATGCGAGTAGGTCAGATCAATCGCGACAATACAACTTTGTCGGAATTCAACGACACCTGTATTACACGCAAAATAACTTGTACAAAATATGATAAAGGAAGACAATTGGTTAGATGGTACAATTTCAACATAAACATTAAGGAAAAAGGGTTGGCAAGATGATTTTTAAGGGGCTATAGGTTTTTATTAGAGAATTCTTAGACCCCCCCCTCCCTCTCCTGTTGCAAAAGAACATTTGTTTTGCTAGAGCAAGCAGCTCCCCCTAAAAAGATTTTTCCAATTTGTTTCTTCAAGTGCAAAGATTATTGGTACCCAAGTTTGAACGATATCGTTATGCAGAAGAGTTTGGTTTTACATGGGTTCCAAAGTATGGTAATCCAGTATTATTACAAAAATCATATGATGATCTTGTGACGGGATGGTGTTTGTCTTCAATTGCAAATCCGTCCTGCAAAGTGAATTTGTTTATTTTCTTCCTAAAAGGTGTCAGGATTGACTGAACAACATTGGATGACTGAGGTTTTTAGAAAATATTGAATTACTAGTAGTGAAATGGACGTTTGGTAATTATCATTGTGTGGAGGGATATATTTGTAATATCAATTATTGTTTGTTTTCAATTTCAAGAAGCTGTAAATTTCTTATTGCTTGAATACCTTATCGCATCAAAAGCTGTTGAATTATCAAATCTTGCACAAATAACAAGGTTTGAGATTGCTGTGTGGATTTTTTGACAAGTACATCGAAAGACCTGTTGATAGTACAAGTTGATGATTGTATTAAGAAACTTTATCAAAGATTTTTTGTTTATGATATGATCGATAAGACGATTAGATTGCTTCACTGTTTACTATGCAAGAAGGATTTTGGATAGGAACGTTAGGCTGCAAGCTAACAAGTGAAGATGCAAAGGTTTTGCAAGTACATATTGTATTAGAATTGAAGCAGTAGAACAACCGTCAAGAAATTACTTGCATCTGTGAAACTCTGTAGAATGAAAATACCTGGTGTTGCCTTTAGCCAGTGCAAGCTGTTATGCTTGGCTTGTTCCGATTCAGTGAATCACTGGAGGTATGAATCTCTATAAGGAGAATTCATAACACCCGCTAAAGGTCATGTCCGCTGAGATAAGCGAAACGGTCAGTGAGCACAAAGCGTTTCGCTATTCTCGCATTAAGTAAGTCTTCCTGTACCACGATAATAAACAAAATTTCAATCGAAAATCAAAATTCGTTTGGATCGACTGGAAGATCTAGAGAAATGGCGTGTTTTCGACACGTCTTCTTGATAGGGATTCTCTCAATTTATGCAAATGCTAGGCCCTATGAAACTGATGCGGATAGACGATGGACTGTTCACGAAAAACCACCGGAGTTAGTCGTAAATGCAGGACCAGATGGAGTTAAAGTTCAAGCTAAGCCTTCAAAGTTACAAGTTATAGAATATCCTCAGAAACGAGATTTTGGAACTGGAGGATTTGGCCATGGTTTTGGTGGTGGATGGGGTGGTGAAGGCCATGGATTTGGTGGCCATGGATTAGGCGGCCAAGGATTTGGAGGATTCGAAGGCGGATTCGGAGGACATGGCGAAGGATTTGGCCATGGTTTCGGAGGCTTTGGAGGACACGGGGGTGAAGGGTTCGGAGGTGGTTTTGGCGGACATGGATTCGGAGGTTTTGGCGGACATGGTGGTTTTGGAGGAGATCATACCACCTACGTTCCATCTCACACACCACCTCTTCATGTCGGACCAAATGCCCCACCAGTTCATGTTGGACCTCATGTCCCTGCTGTGCATGTTGGCCCTCATGTGCCCAGCATTCACTATGGCACACATGCTCCTCTATACCACGTTGGACCACATGTTCCATTTGTGCATATGCCTCCACCCATTCCAACTGTCCATGCTGGTCCAATGGGACCTGCAGTCCATGTTTCTTCCCCTCCAACTGTTTACCATCAGCCTCCTGTTGTACATCACGAATCTCACATCGTAGGTGGAGAATGTTGTGATGGAGATGATTGGGGACATCATGGTGGTGGTCATGGGGGATGGGGCCACAGTGGATTTGGAGGTCACGGTTTCGGTGGTCATGGATTTGGTCATGGTGGTTGGGGTGGTCATGGAGATGGCGGATGGGGTGGTCATGGTGGTGGTGGTGGTGGTGGTGGTGGATGGGGAGGACATGGTGGAGGATGGGGTGGACATGGTGGAGGATGGGGTGGAGATCATGGTTATGGTGGTGGATGGGGAGACCACGGACGATCAGCTATCCCAGGAAAACCAACCCAGCAAATCAAAGGAAAGGTTAAGAGACATGCTCAATTTGATGGCGACCACGGTGATCTTGGACATATGGACGGTGGACACTTCGATCTCGGACACTTGGATGGTGGACGTTTGGAAGGAGGACATTTGGAAGGAGGACATTTGGATGGAGGACACTTTGATGGAGGACACTTTGATGGTGGACATGCTGACGGTGGCCACTTCGATACCCATTACCAAGGTTGGCATCCATTCCCTGCTAGTGTACACGTTGGACCACACACTCCACCAATTCATATTGGGCCTCATTATCCTCCAGTTCATATTGGACCTCATGTTCCAGCAGTTCATATCGGCCCACATGTACCATACATAAACATCCCTGCCCACGTACCAGCCATTCACGTTAGACCACATGTTCCAGCTGTTCATATTAGCCCACCAGTACCAATCATCAATGCAGGCAATCATGTTCCAGCTGTACATGTTACCTCACCACCAACAGTGTACCACAGACCACCTATTGTCATCCATCAGCCTCATATCGTACACCCAGACGCAACCCACTCTACAGTCCATCATTTTGACTTCCGTGGCGAAGAATCTGGTCACGGATATGGTGGCCACGGTTTTGATGGTGGTCATGGTTATATTGAAGCGGGTCATGGATTCGAAGGTGGTCATGGTTTTGAAGGAGGACACATTTACCAAGGTGGACAGAGTTTTGAGGGTGGGCATGGATTCGAAGGTGGACATGGTTTTGAAGGTGGTCATGGATTTGAAGGGGGACATGGATTCGATGGTGGCCAAGGATTCGGTGGTGGCCAAGGATTCGGAGGTGGCCAAGGATTCGGAGGTGGACATGGATTTGAAGGTGGACATGGCTTTGGTGGCTTTGGCGGAGCTGGTGGTTTTGTTGGCAAAAGGGACAACATACAACAGAATGCTGAAAACACTAGAAAACAGAAACGTGAGGTGAGTGATGAACCAAATCCTAGAGAGATTCTCAGGAGATCAATTAAATCCCGTTTAAACAGACGACAGCTTCTTGGATCTACCAATGCTGATGGCAGCGACAGTGTGATTTTTGTTCATCCAGGTTCCAGTTCATCTCAAGTGTCTTCTTCTGAACTGTCAGCCCTTAATAATGGCCTAGGCAACACAATGCCAAATGCAGCAGCTAGCCCACCCACGGCCGCCACTGCGGAGAACCCGTTGAGTGCATCTGCTTTTGCGAAGTCTGGTTTGTCAGGCTTGTCCAGCCAACTCAACTCTCTGCCAGCCTCCATAGCAAATCAAATTAGCAATTCTCTGGGAGCGCCAGTTGGGGGGTCGTTAGGTGGTTCCCTAGGCGGGTCTTCAGGGAACTCTGCGAGCAGTGCTATAAGTGCGGCCCTTAGCGGTTCCAATCTGGGTAATGCCTTCTCTGATTCCAATCAAGTCCCTCAAGAAACTCAAGGATCAATGAATAACATGGGTGGCTCATCTTCAAGTGAAGAGAGTAGCTTTTCTTCCGATAGTCCCAGTATGAATATTGGCGGCTTCCAGGGTGGCTTCGGCAGTGAAGAAAATAACATGCAGGGTGCCGAAATGGGAGGAAAATCAGAGGAAGGTGAAAATTATCAAAGATCGCGTATCCCTAGGCCTGAGGAGCAAGCCGAGGAAGAGGAAAGTAACGAAGACGACGACGAAAACGAGGATGAAATCGTCGAGAAGTCGGTCATTCCTCATCCTGATGACGAGGACGACGACGACGACAACGACGACGATAGTGATGACGCAGAAGATGATAAATAAAGCGACGAAATAAAACAGGTAACAAAAGCAAGATACTCGTTTATACGTAAAGAATAAGCAGGTTCGTACTAGGGATACGCGGTCTTCGATCACCCATGGCCAAAGATTTCTTGGACAAGAGTGAGGTATTTCAATTCAATTTCAAAATCTATCCCAATTTTGTCATCCTATACCAAGTCAACGGTACGCGAGACATCGAAGCCTAACTGATCATTCCTTGTCCAACCATCTTTGGCCATGGCAATATAGTGAAGGCACATGTCCCTAGGGCATAATGCGGGCATTTCGAGGCATATTGCGTTCAACTGGATGCTCGCCGTTGTACCGTCGAACACATACTACTATGTGCTGTCTGGTACTAGATAAGTATTTCTCCTCCTAGAATTACAGTACACTGATTGAATACTTGTATCGCGGTAACAAGCTTTGCAAATGCCATGTAGAACTATTGCTCACTGATTTCATGATTAACGGGGTAATATTTCTATTTTTCTAAGGGATTTTCAATGAGCCTATCACAGTTTCCTATTATAAACATACCCTCTAGTTCCGAATTAGTAGGGATGGTTATGGTTGCTTTTTATTGCACAGACTACTGTATCTGCAGCTGCTTCTAACGAAAGAAACAAACTATGAGGGCTGAACTGTTTTGATGTGTTTATGTAAACACACACCTATATACTCACTTTAATAAACAAAAGGGTGTTTAGTTTTACATATTTTTATTTCCTAGCATTGATACCCGACCACCATGATAAAGTGAAATTAGTGGCAAACGACCCCCTTCGAATTTGTTTGTTTTTTAACCATTTTATGAGCTTTTCTCCTATGTTTTTTAATTTTGCATATCCTAAACTTCTATATTTGTTAAGTTTGAAGGAAATTTTCACCATTAAAAGGCTCAAAACCATCTGATTACCCCCATTTTCCCATGTTTCAGGAATTGAGTATTCGTTGCGCTCAGTTTCTCTCACCAGTTTCCGTGCCCCAAAGCCAGTCTGAGCGCTTTTTCTCTCCCTGTTTTCCATCTAGGTTTGTATCTAATTAAATGATCCTGGTAACTGAAAAACATATCGATTAGATAGGCAATGACGGCATTTCTTTCATATTTTTTATTTCATCATCTCTTTTTGCCTTATAGAAAGGTCATGATAGAGAAATTGGTTTGAAAAGAACAGGGGAGCCCTTGCAAAACATATCTCAAAACCAGTAGTATATTTTGTGAAGACCCCTGAGCCCCCGAGCACTACACCCCTCGGAATGGGCTAGATTTAAGAAAAAGAATTAAAAAGGCCACAATAAACTGGAATGGGACTTTAGGAAATGGGAGAAACAATGCAAATAGCAAGAAACTTTTTCATGACAACAATGACTTTGGTCCAAGCAAATTTTTAGTCTTGTTTAAGAATCTCTTCAATTCATCGAACTGCAATTATTAATATCTCTTTGATCTTAAACAATTTTTTGGGGTCGAAAAATATGAATGCGTTGGATATAAATCTCCATTTATGGTTACGTTTTTAGTGTAGTTTTGAACAATTTCCACGAAGAAATACAAGCTGATTTATCATGTTTTGTTTCTTTTTTAGTTGAAACTACCTAAACTGCTGAAGCAGAGCGTTCCTTATTGAAAAAGTCGCAAAATTGATTCAAAATTGCTGACATGAAGATATGACGAGTGCAAACTGAAGTGCAAGATCAAGAACGATAGCCGTTTGTTTATACAAATAGAAAAAACTTTAATCATAATAAAATCACGTTGTGATGTCACAGAACTTTCATTTGTAATGTCTATAGTGGCAGAATCTTTATTTTTTATGTATAGTTTAAGTGACAATGCGAAAGTTTTCGAAACATTTCGCCTCCAAATCTTTATTCGTAACTATAGTGGTAACAAAACATCCCCCCTCCAAAAGAGAACTTAGCAACAAAAAAGCATTTAACTATCGTGGAAATATTGGAATAACAAGCTAGATGTTAGTCGATAAACAAATGCATGATTGCCTTTCAATCTCACTTTTGCAGAGTCTTTCCTTATTGAGTATAATAGACCATAAAATATAGAAATATCTCTGCTAAGATTTACGTTATAAACATTTCTATGTTAAAAATGCATAGATTGTGTAAATAGCAACTTAACTCTTTTAGGCCATCAAACGTTTCATATCTTTTGTCACTGCTTGTTTACCTAAAGAAATGTTCGTAAAGCATGAGCACGTTTGTTTTTATACGCGACCATCTCAAATTTTGTAGGATGCAGGAAGTTTATAGAGTTGAAGAATTGGATTGAGTATAAGTTAACAAAAACAGCTCATTGTCCGGACACCTTTAAGTGATCAAGAATTGTTATCTTAGGGCATTCATAAAAGACAAACATACAGGCACGGGCTATCAATTGCTTTTGAAAACGGTATATTGGAGCCAAGAGAGTTGGTAAATTCAGAAAAGTAGTCGTTTCGTAGGGGATGATGAATTGTGCTCGTAATGTTTAGTAGATTATGGTTCGTTTGTATGAAACAAATCGAGTTGTTATTCTGTGAGGCTGTCGTCTTAGCAAGACTGAGTCATGTCCGTGTCCAGAACAGGGTGCTGAGTTCCAAGTTCCACTCTCCATCGCAGAGGCTGTGGCAGCAACCAACCTTTCTTGTCAAGGCTGCGATGACGGTTGCCAACAAACGCCTCTGCGATGGAGAGTGGATCATAAACAGACTGTCGAGAGCCATCTCATTGGAGCCAGCTCTGTCCTCGTTTCCACGGGACCTGTGCAATTCGGAACTGTAACGATATGGTTACGGATAGGCATCGCATTTCCACAGAGCTGCAAGAAACAGTTCCATTTGAAACTGCTAGCCGTACTTAAATGGGTCTACTTACGAATTAGATCCCAATTGAAACCTTACTCGCAGAAACGAGTAGAACGGTTACAACTTTTTATGGATCGGAAACGAGAATTCTTGAGAACTCTCTCATTCCTCCTCTCTAACTGGATACTGTAGCATAGCGGAATAATCTTTTGATTGGCTGAAGCGCTACAATTTTGAATTTATGCAAATTATTCCCCTAAGCTGGATACTGTTCTATAGACAGTGCAGTCAAGTCTTTTGCAATAAAGAATTGTCTCCCAGTCTTTTCCCTAAGCAAGATTTGCAGCTTTGTAGTCGAGGGGTATTTAAGTGACAGAGCTGTTTCTCCTTCCTTCTAACTACAAAATTTAACTTGGTTTGTTGTGGTGAATGCTTTTCGATTAATTATTTCTCTTGGTCTAAATGAACAAAGCTCAAAGAAAGAATTTGGTGCTCTTCTTCTGCTCCTTTTCTTTTTAAAAAACGCCTGGATAATGTCGCCAGAACCAATTCCAAATGGAGCCGGTCATGTGAGATGTTAACTAAGATATTAACCCCTTTGAGAGACAGGATCTTGGATTTCTAAGCCAGAACTACTTCTCTCGAAGCCTATGTCTTTATCTAACGACAAATTGGCACTGACTGTTAAATAAAACAAACGTCTTCTTTTCTGACGATAGTATCCCAGGTGAAAGTCTGCTTACTATTAAAGCTATGTTCACATTGCTCCGTATTCCTTTTTATCCGTTTTCTTATCGATCCGTTTTACCTGTTCACACTCCTCGGGATACATTGATAACGGCGTGAAAACGATGAAGCGTTCACATTGCTCAGCTCTGGATAAAAAGGGAAACGCCACGAACTGGTTTACAGACCTTGCGACTTCTAATAAGTTTTTTAAACAACCCACTGCCACTAATATTCCTCCAAATAGTGTACTAACTTCGAGTGAATCAGCCATGTTAAGAGAAGTTGTTCAAATTGGCGGGGTCTAAACATCTTGCTGTGTTGTTGTTGTTGTTGTTGTTGTTGTTGTTGTTGTTATCGTTTTCAAAAGTATCCGTTCTCGGTATTCACACTGCGTTTTGCGTCTCTGTTTTCAAAAGTCTCCGTTTTCAAAGTGCGTTTTCAAAAGTCTCCGTTTTCGCAGCGGAGCAGTGTGAACGCAAGGTCAAAACGGATACTTTTTTACCCGTTTTCATTGGAATCCGGAGCAATGTGAACGTCCATTTTACTTGGACGTATAGTGGACGTAAAGTGGACGTAAAGTCCATTTTACATGAACTATAACGAAAAAATGCATTTAAAAATGAAGTAAAAGAGAGGTTTCATAGTTGGCTCCAAAATTGGGTAGCTCATTAATAATAGCCAGAAATTTCGTCAGTACCAAAGCATAACTAGTCCTTCAGACTTGAATCTAAGCCAGTTACATTGTATAAAATGATAGGCTTCTTAACTGTACCTTCATAACCAAACCTAGAACTATCACCACACAGTCTGTCAACCTTTAAGGAGAATCCTTGAAAGAGATTTTATGAAATTTTGGAAAATGTGAACAGTTTTTGTGGAATTTTGTGAAAAAATGTTAAATTTCTGAACTGTCTTAGAATAATTTAAAATGTTAGATTAATTAAAATGTTAGAAAATCTGTGAAGTAAGCGCTTTAAGATACATGGATTTATTTGATGGAAGTAATGAAGTTAAAACATCGATATGATCATGTATTTAGTATACCACGTTTATTGGCTCTTGCAAGCCAGTTCAGGCAATTCTTATTAATACTTCAATACACCGGTAATACGCCGCAAAGCAACGTCATTATGATTCTAAAAGAAAGCATTCTTCGTCAACAACCTGTTCTCGGAGCAAAAAAAGCTCCATCTACTTTGATCGATCAAGTTGAAACCTCTAAAATTTGCCTACCTTAACGTCTTAACGCTCAACTGGAGCCTCTATCATTTGCCTTCACTGGCGACCAAGCTAACAATTCCATCATTTGCCTATGTTAATGACCAAGCTAAAATTTCTTTCATATACCTAAGTTAACGCCCAACTAAAACTGCTATCATTTGCCAGACGTTAACACAAATTCTACTTCACAATATGAGCTTTGCGCCATCAAAAATCAAATGGTAGTATTTAACAGGAAATAAACCCCTTCCTCGCAATCTCTGATACGGCAAGGTGATAAAGCTTCCAAAATGTTAATGATATATTGCAGAAGGAAAGATGATTTTCAAGGGTACTACTTTAAAGAAATGTTGAGTTGAACAAAATACAAAGGTATACCAGCAGAGATAAAGCACGCCCAGCGTCAAGTAAGCCCAACTCTAATGAAAGACAAACCCATTTTAATTATCATCATCAATGATACTGATTCAGATTCATTGTAAGTTATTAGAAACTTGAAAACGACAACAACGTAGCACAAGACAAGACAATAACAAGAAAAAAAAGAGCGATGATCGAAAATCAAAGGAAGAAGAAGGCAAACAGTAAAACAAAGCAAAAACACGCAGGATCAACCCCAGCAAATCCAACAAGATTAAACATAGCAACAAAAGTTAGAGTCAGAACGAGTTGGAATTATGTAATAAAGTAAAGATCACCGACCAGACATAAAATATCAAGGTATTAATTAGTTGGTGATTCTCAACTTCGTATGGTGGATGAATCGAAATTAACAAATACTCAGAAAGACGTGTAGGTAATATTTCAACCATATTAAACAGGCCATCAAAAAGCAGGTAATAGTGATAACAGCGTGATAATATTCCACGCAGCAACCAACTATATCCAGTCAAGTTCTCCTTATCATTTAAGCGATGATATTGAACACCAAAATGATGACATCACAAAAATCTATTTTTCGGATTTTTGAACTTTGATCTTATAACCTGAAAGAGCATTATGAGATACCTCAAAATATGCATAATCAGTTTTATGTATTACGAACTGGCAGATTTATGGCTACCTGAGCATAGGCTATTTTCCCATCAAACCTTTGTAATTTGGACAAGAGCATGTAACTTGGTACTATGAAACTAGCGAACATAGTACAAGTTAATCGCTAATAGACGAAAAGTATGAAACTAGAATTGGTAGATCATTATATGATTTATGCAGTGTGTATGCAGAAAAAAATCCAAATAAAAATTAACACGGAGGCTCAAAAGAAAAAAATCAACACCTATTGAGTCTCGTGCTCCAAGAATCTATTTAACGAAGATTTCCAGAAGGACCTTAAACTAATTGACTGGGCTTCTAAATTCCACTGCCCCTCTAAAGAAAATGAAGGTAAAAAATAAATTGTGCTCCATTACGGTGGCCCACAGGTGCCATGGCAAAACTTTCTTTTACACGGCAAAACTTTGTTATTCACGGCAAAACTTACTTTCTCACGGCAAAATTTTCTTTAGTAAAAAAAGTTTCATCTCAAAGCTCTCCCCGCTTGAGGGACAATAACAACAACAATCCAATTGGTGAGAAAATATGGAGTCTAAAGCATTGATTAGCTCTAAGTATCGCTTACACAAAGTCCGCCTTTGTCATGTTCCTACCATTCTCCATCTTTAAAGGATAAACGAACAAAATGGTTAAAAATATTGATAAAAAATTACCTAGAATCCGATACCACAACGATTTTTGAAATAAAGGACGTTAGGAGCGAAAATCAGTTTTAAGAAAAGCTTAACGAACACTTTGTCAGCGTAAGCTAAAAAAATTTATAGTAAACTAAAAGTTGAGCCTAAGAATGATCTGATTAAATATTTGCACACCCTTGGTGCCAACCAACAATTTTCAGTTAAAATAATGAGCAAAGATGCAATGCTTACTTCTCTAAAAATTCTGAAAAATTGAGTTGCACCCGGTCCAGATGAAGTTCCAACCAATCTTGTAAAAGACGCTGCAACATTTAGTGCCAGGTTATTGATGATGATATTTAATATTTCTTTGAAACAGGGAATATTTCCAATTATCTTGAACCTTGAAAAAATCACACCAGTTTTCAAGTCAGGAGCTTGAAATTAGGGAAAGAGTTACAGGCCCATTTCAGTTCTCCATTTTTTCAAAACTATTTGAAAAATTTGTACATGATCAAATATTGGACTTCTTTCTCTCCACCAGGAAATGATTATGAGCAAATTTGTATATCACAAAATTCATTCTACCATCACATCTCTGATAAGTGTTCAGACTACCTGTATATGAATATGTACAAAAATATGTCAGCTTTGCGATCAATTATTGGACCACCTTCTCTCCACCAGGAAAATGACTATGAGCAATTTTGTGTATCGCAAAATTCATTTGAGCATCACATCTCTGATCAGACTACTTGTAAAAAATATATGCAAAACTTGTAAAAA